ATCCATTCATTTTTTGAATAAATGTCTCTATTAAATTTTCGTGTATAACTTTTTCCTCTACTTACACCAGCTCTCTCAATAATAATATCTGGTAATGGTCTACCTTTTGCTTTCAATTCAATCTTTTCTTCATATGAATATTTAAAAAATTTCTTCACATTAATTAAATTGAAGACCACTTCCATTGTACACACTTAATAATAATTATTGTCAAAAATACACAAAAAAAAACCACAGGCATTGGCACTCTATTATTAATGTTTTTTAATCCAATGTCCAACCCACTGTAAACTAGAAAGTCGCGTAAAAACTCGATACTATATTGAATATTGACTATACTATTACAATAACGTTTATGCCGCGCTTCGCTGTACAGACTGCAGCGAATTCTCCAGGTTAAATCACGGCTTTGTTTTCGGGGTAAGGGGGTAGCGGAGTGCAGCGGGAGCTTGCGGACGGGCTCTCAGAGCTCGGTCATGTGGCCCAGATAAGTAATAATTCAGGGATAGCGTGAGTCGGTAGGTTATTCCACTGATCGACTGTTGACATTTACACGGTTCACGGTTCGCTGGACGCTAGCATAGATACAGCAAAATCTAATATAGTATGACAGAGATAGATAGAAAGCATCTACAACATCTCAGATGTAATATCTGAATTTAGCCATATCATTATTACGAGGGCGAATGAACAATATCATATTATTTGCTTTTTGGTAGGTATTAGAAAATATGTTAGGTAGATTACGTAATTATTTATTTATTTTTTAAATTTATTATCCTCAGAGTTATTTTTTTTGGGAGCTCTGCAGCACTGCAGCACTTATGCACTAGCCGCCACTGAAAGCCATTATTATTGAAAGTGATGCATATCTGTTTTTCCTGTTTTGACTTTGTCTCAGCTGATCAGCAATAATCTCTAGATTTTTTGTATATGGAAACATAACTAAGTCATTATTAATTATGGAAATCGCTGTGTCAAGTTGTTTCAATGCATTCATGATGCAAACTTCAACAGAGTTTTTGTGTTGGTTCTCAGAAAAATAGAAAAAATACCTATTTAGCAGGTTTTCTAATTGGGACCATCTGGTAATTTTGAGATCATATGGCAAAACCCACTTCAAGTCACTAAAAGAAAGCTTTACATCCTTTATGAACAACCTGAACTTCCATCTGACCATCAACTATAATCTGTGTATTCAAAGTTAAGATATCATTTTCAAAATCCAATTTATAAAAATATAGCTTTCCATCAGATAATTTATTATTCCATTTCTGCGAGGCTTTAATTTTTGAAAATGAAGAATGTAATTCTTGAAAGTCTTTGATCTTATCCATATCATCGAAATTCTGGATAGCTTTTTCATGTTTCTCAATTAATTTTTGTTTTCTTTGCATTGGGTCAGTTCTTTTGGGTGCTTCAGTTTTTGAAAGATATGATGGCAAGTTTGGGAAAATGGAGGGAACAGCATTTTCTTTCAATTTTGGATATTTCAAAGGTATATTATTTTGGACTGTTCCATCCGCCAAAACTATATTTTCTGTCCTGATGATATCCGATTCTCTAAAATGACGACTGGACACAGCTGAATATTTTGAAGGTGTCCAATTTTTTCTGGGAATTGCCATGTCTCATATATTATAGTCACCGATCACTTTGAACACATACACACACTTTGAAGCTTAGAAAACAAGCTTATCTCTTAATTACAGCCTCTGGGATTGCGAAATCACAAATTGAAAAGGTTATGTTTTCTCAGCGTTTTGAGCACGTAACACTTGAGTAACACTACCACCTACGTTGCCAGATTTCTTTGTTCACGGCTCGTAGTTGACGTCGGCTGTGGTTATATGAACGTTAAATGCGTGGCGTTGACTACGCCATGTTAGGGCGGTCGCCATGGACGCAACATTTGGATAACGAATATGATGAGTCTGTGGCTCCATCACGTTATGCTTCATCACAATAATTCTGTCATGTCAAAAATGCAAATTTTGACTGCATACTTGGAGGCGCGTTGATGGTTCTACAGAGGCAAAAAGCACCTTAAAAATGGAGTGTCGTGACGTTAAACCGCACGGGTATTATGTACCTTGAAAATGACATTTTGTCGTTTTTTTTTTGACATTTCATAATTTTTTTCTGACATAACGTTCTGCAAGATGTCATCTTACTACTAGCTGTTGTTCAGTTGCTGTATGCTATACACCTGAAAATAGACAAACTATTGATGTTGTGTGGTTTCATCTTGTGGTTTAAAAAGCGGGGCATAAAAAAAGGTAGCAAAACGAGCATAATTTAATGAACTAAAAATACAACTTGATAACTAGTTTCGTATGTGCAGTCGTTTCAGTTCGTTTTAGAGCAACAGTCGTTGCAGTTTTCAGTCGCATAAATAACGAATATGTAACATATCGCATATATACGTGGCGCGAACTATTCAAAAGATGAGGTTATACTTCACAGCAAACAGTGGAAAGTTCAAGTCATAATAATCAACATCGATTATCTACGACCGGACGGTAAATTGTACTTTGTGGATAGGCTTTTTGGGCGTCAAATCTCACTTCCCAACCGACGGACTCCACGGGCAGACATTGCATCTTAAACCACACAACCTTAATAGTTTGTCTATAAATCTGGTACAATGCTATGTACTGAAGTATCGCTATTGATCGTCTAGGCTAGTTCAATTCTAGTCCGAGCTGTCAATATGGCGAATTTATGTATCAATCAGTACGCATTGCACTACTTTCAGCGAGCTTATCGCATCTAGGCTGGGTCATGAAGTTTGTGGTTCTACTGACCCCATACAACATTTTCAGGTTATGTAACACGTCATACTTCGTCGTATTTGATCATTTTTTGTTATGCCATTTTAATACTATACGATTTGATATCACGTTACTTTTAGGATCATTCATAATTTGAGACCATCCGTTTCACAAACTAATTCACCTAGTCTAGTATTAAATAGCAGATACATTGTCCCTCTTATTATCTGAGAAGATAATTAGCAAACCTACATAGAAAAGAAGTACCGCAATTTTTAACATGAAAAAGAAAACAAAAACAAGTAGACCATCGAGTTAAAAATATAATAGATGTCCTATGTTATTTATCAGATATTTAACATGTGAGGTTTATTTAGTGCCATTCGTCATATCTTGGCCTTGACTGTTTGTTTATTATTGTTATTAAGGCCGGTACATTGATAGATGTCTATATTTATAGATTTACAGCAGTATTAATGCCTATTGAGGCGGAAATAGGCTGATTGCTCTGTTTTTTTATGAAAATAAAAAGATACCCTGTCACGCAAGATTTGTTTAATTGTATATTGCCTATATGTTTTCTTATATACTTGTAACCTTTAATTTTGGGATACAAAGACACACTGGCACGAAATTCTTTATATTGTGCGATTTTAATTACATTTCAGTCTTCAGTTATTGCCAATGATTTCTAGTTGCCAGTCACTACATTGTATTTTTAGCTCATTAAGTTATGCTCAAGTTTTGGTACCTTTTTGTTATGCTCCGCTTTTTGAACCACAAGTTGAAACCACACAATAGTTTGTCTATTTTCAGGCGTATATTTACTTATAGCATAACAAATCTGCTACAATCTTAGGTACTGATGTAACTATATTGATCGTCTAGGCTAATTCAATTCTAATCCACCGACAGTTGCGGTTAATCGGTAAGTTCCGACGAGTTCCAGAATAGCAGCCCAGGTGGTCGGTACTGTCGGTAGGGTAGGGAAGGAAGTTTTTTAGATCGCAGCGTTATCAAGTTCCGGGAATGTTGTCATAACCCGGGAACTGGAAACGCTGTATCATTCAACATCTATCTAGCAAAGGCTGTAGCCGACAGCACGCTTGGTTTGTGTTTTGTGCGTCTTTTCTGAAAACGTCTCTAGTGGCGTCCTGGAAATGAGTGATTCACAATTGCAAACAACGTGTTTTGATTCAATTTTTAGTGAAAGCCGGCGAAAAACCCCCAGAAATCCTCCGAAAGTTGCAGGTGGTGTATGAAAAGTGTATGTATATCGAAAACTTGCGTGTTTGAATTGGCGAAGCGGTTCAAAGAGGGGCGTGCGTCAGTAGAAGGTAATCATGTGAAGGAGCTCCCATAATCTAGATGGTGCCGAAAGTCCTCACCATAAACAAAAAAAGGAATGCGCAAAGGGATCTGCGATGATTCGTTTTCCCGCTTTCATAGCGACTAAAGAGAATAGGTAAGTCGGTTGATTACTGGAGTTACGACCTGGATATTTGTTTGACCCCGGACTCAACAGCGGGTAGAAATGGGTAGAGAGCCTCCAACGAAAGCAAGGATGTCCAAGTCGCGACTGAAGGCAAAGTTGATCGTTTTTTTTTTCGATATCCGCGGCATTGTGTATCGTGAATATGTTCCTGCTGGATAAACAGTGACTGTTCAGTTTTATGTTAGCGTCCTGAAGCGGCTACGGGTACGAGTTTTCCGTATGCGACTCGAACTCGTCGATAGTAGATCCTGTACCACGACAACGCACCAGTCCATTCCTCGTTCATCGTGCAGTGCAGTCTTTGGCGCAAAAAGGCATTCCAATGATGCCGCACATACTCTATAGCCCCGATATTGCCCCCTTGGAGGGGCATTCTGACACAAGTGGCGTGGAAGAGGTCAAAAAAATTTGTAACCGTGGTGCTGAAGACGCTAACTTCGGAGGGTTGCAAAGGGTGCTTTGAATCGTGGGAGCAACATTGGAATGATTGTGTAGTGTTAGATGGCGGCTATTGTGGAGGTACATAATGAAATTTTGCGTGAAACTTGAGTTGCTTGTTTTTTATTGACAAATTCCCTGAACTTAATTGGCACACCTCGTACATGCTTGTAGCTAACCTTTTTCTCAGAGCGGAGAGGGGCTAACTTGTGCGGAACAAACCGGCATGAGGTGAAGACATTGTTGCGTGGGAAGAGCAGAGTCAATTTTCTTGATGCCATTTTTTCTTACAGCAACTGGCGATCGCGACGTCAGTAGCTCAACACCAAGTAGCAGCCGCCGCGGCCGCCGTTGCCGTTGCTCAACACCACAAACAACAACAGGACGCGATGAACCACCACAACGCGGCGGTGGCAGCCGCCATGATGCACCATCACCATCAGCAGCAGCAACAGCACCAACGGGGATTCCCAGTGCGAATGGGCGGGCCCCCGTTGGGCATGATGGCAGCACAGATGCGTCCCCATCAGATGCTGCCCGGCCCGCCGCAACTTATAGGGGGGCCTCTCATGAGGCCGCCGCCAATAGGCATGCCGCCAGGTACGTAAAGGATGGGGTAGGGGTTTTAAATTTGCAGGGTGAATGTGAGAGTGGATGAGTAAGGCGATTCTACGATCTTTTAAGAAGAGTGGTTAGCTATATACAGGGTGTCCCAATATTCTGTGGACAACACGTACCGCGTATTTTTAGACTGAATAAGTCGATTGCACATGATTTACCGCTATGCAAAAGTGCTTCGTTTGTCCGTTCAAGACATTTCAAGAACTGATTGTCCGATTTGATTGAAATTTGAAACACGTGTTTTTCTAGACGTTATAATATTTGACTTTTACGAAAAGGGTTCGAGAAGGGTGAAAACTACCACCACCCCTGCATAAGTTATAGCAGAATTTTTTGGCAGTTTTCCCGACGACTGTTATTTTTATTCAGCATATCTTTTTATCTACTTCATTGTTTATCTCCTATAAAAATAATCCATCTCGAATAGTTTTCGATAAAAAAAATGAGTTGCATCAAGAGGTTCCAAAACATCTCATTATTTTTTTAAGTGTAGTTAGTGAAAATATACCAGTATGATATTACTTATTAAAATTTTATTTAATATATTATTTCATAAGAGGTGTTCAATATGGCCACCATTTTCGTTTCTGCACATAACAATCATAACAATATAGTGCAAAAAATTATAGTTGACTCTCTCTAAGATATCATTCTTTCACATATTTCCAGCATTTCGAATTCTGTTCCATAGTTGATTGACGTTGTCTATCTGTCTGAACCTCCTATACCTTCGTCGTTAATGCTCCCCATTATAAAAAATCGTAAGAATTAAGATCTGAGGAACGAGGTGACCATTCAATATGAGCGTCTTGACCTCTACCATCAAGTAATTTCTTACAGCACGCGCAAAGTGAGGTTGAACACCATGCATAATAAATGTGTCAGTTCTTACATTCAGAGGCAGTTCTAATGATTCAGGTAGAACGTATTGTAGAAAATGAAGATATCTGTATCTGTTTAATTCATCAGACAGCCTTACATGGACCAAATAAAAAGTTTCCAATAATCCCGATTTGAACCGTAATTTTAAATTCCTATTGAAAATGATTTTCTGAAATTGCATGCGGATTTTCTTCAGTGTAAACATGCAAATTTATCATACCACGTCGGGTAAAACATGACTCATCTGTAAACAAAATGATAGAACAATCTGAAACGTTAATCTAACATTTATGAATAACAAAACAAATTAACAATAAAAATGAACTAAAAAACGTTACTATTGATTTAAACGTAATGAAGCTTGTTGCTAAAAATAATCCGGTACTGACATAACATCCCACATTTCCGCCAGCTAGATGACTGCTAAAGTTTAATTCTTGATGTAATGATAAATTTTTTTAGAAACTAGCTCCGAAAAACATTTTTTCTCTCGTAAACTATACGAGATGATCTGTTTCTATGAGACCAATCAAGCAAATAAAAGGATCTTTTACACAAAAAAAAAAAAAAAAAAATAGCAGAATAGCAGAACACGTGTTTCAAGTTTCATTCAAATCTGACTATCAGTATAGAGGTAAATCATGTCCAATTGACTTGAATGATAGGATTGTGCATTAATTTCCTATTGCACTGATACCAACTCTGACAATCTAGATTGGTATTTTTTTCATATATCGATGATTTCAAATCAATACCTCATGAGTTCGAAAAATGTCGATTTTCTGATTTAGTTCTGTTTAGACTGCTGTATGCATAAATCGACATTTTCGGACTTATGAGGTATTGATTTGAGATCGTCGATGCTTCCCGAATAAGGACCATCGATATGGATTTTCTGAGAGCATTCCTGTACGCACACAGGAATCATAACAGAACAAAATCAGAAACTCGACATTTTCGGACTTGACACACAAAATTGTGGTGTCGAATATGGATTTTTCGGCGAAATATTCCGTAATGCCACCATGATTGCCAGATTAAGAAACATACTTTAGGCGTGTATTTTTTCCGATGGAAAATATTTTCCATAATTGATAATTTGAAATTACAATAAAAAGAAAAGATTTGTATTCGATTTGTATAATTATGTATTTTTTTGATGGGTAAAGTATTTCTCAGAAATTCATTAAACATTTGACGTTATCATAGAAAGAAAGATTTGCAGTCGAATTGTAAAATTAGGGGAATCGCATTCATAAAATACAGTTTTCACACTATCACTCTTATTAAAGATTTTGTAGCTACGCCAGATCATTGATTGAAGGTAGAATGCCATCATTTATTGGCATAAATTGTACTTTGACGGTTATCAGTGATCTATTTCTCATTTTTCATTTGTATGTAACTTAGTAGCGCGATGAAGAAACTCGTAGAGGATCAGTTTCATACTTACCAACTTTTGTGTGTAAATTAATACTTTTGGACCTTTTGTACGCCAAAAACTGTAATTCACATGTTATTATGTATGTATCGAAGAAAGAGACTAAACCAAAACGGTGATCATCACGTGATCATTGCTTGATCAGCACACTGATACATTTCAAGAGAGAGAGCATAACTGTTATTGGGCAGAATAGGTCGAGCCCTTACACAGAACCAATGACAAACCAGAGGTTACGACCGTGCATGTAGGTTGGCCCGGTGGCTGGCCGTTAATGCTATATATATTTATACAGTACAGAGTTGGCATCAGATTTATACTGGTATTACTGTGTGTTTATTAGATTTGTCAGTTTTTCGTAGAACTCAAAATGTCTGATACGGATACAGCTGATGAAGTTGTTGATATAAGCTGCACACCGCCTAAAAAAGAGCTAAAAGGCTTCATTTTAGCGTTAGCGAAAAACAAATAATTATCAACATTTATAAACGCGAAATGCAAGGAAGGAGTGACTTAAGTGGTCAGGACATTGTTTGCAAAGTAGCAAGTATATCGGGCGTTAGTCGTGCAAGTGTTTACCGAATTGTTCGGAAGTACAGATCTAACCATTCACTGGTCGACCAAAAAAGTATCCGCCAAGAAAAACAATCAACGATGCCATATATGTCTTCGACAGAACCGCCATAATGAGAATTGCGCACAATTTTTTCTTTCGTAATGAATCACCAATGGTGGATGAAGTGCCGAAGCTGGTTAACAGGGATAATGACATGCCAAGTTTCAATAAATTATTTAAATAAATGGGGTTTCAATACAAAAAGTGGGAAGAAACAATCTTTTACTGGAAAAAGACGAAATAGATATTTGGAGAACGGACTACATATCTAAGACAAATAAGAAAATTTCGTGCAGAAGAAAGGAAAATATACTACCTAGATGGAACATGGGTCAACGCGGGGCATACACAGGCGAAGGTTTGGATGGATTCTTCCATAAAATCTTCAAAGCAAGTCGTTTCGAATGGACTATCCACTGGATTAAAAAATTCCTCAGGTATTATTTCAAAACACGTGTACGTACGTATTTCTGGTATGCTTGCGCTGACACCTACATATTTTTAATACTTGTAAGACGAGGAATTTCAACTAAAATTATATTTTATTTTTGTACATGCTTAAACTATATAGAGATAAGAAATCAAGTAATCATTTTGCTGGGTTTTTAATGCTTTCAATGGGAGCGGTTTTTAAGTGTCCAAAATAAATTATTTTTAGGAAAAGGGAAGCGATTGATAATTTGCCAAATCGGTAATGAAGATGCACTTGTACCCGATGCTTTATAGGCATTTGAATAAAAAAAAACGGGAGACTACCATGAATAAATGGATGGAGCCTCGTTGGAAAATTGGTTCTCAAATACTCTACCGAAGATAATTCGGTTATAGTATTAGATAATGCTTCATACCACGCGAGAAAATGAGAGAAACATTCGTCAACAAAAGAATCAGAAATTCAAGGATGGCTTAAAAATAAAAAGATTGATTATGATGATACAATGGTTAAGGCAGAATTGTTACAAATTGTCAAGACGCATAAAAATAAATATAACCTGAACATAATTGATGAAATGGCCAAAAAAACAAAATAAAACTGTTTTACGACTGCCTCCCTACCATTGTGAGCTCAATCCGATTGAGCTCAATTGGGCAGACAAAAAAATAAGTTGCAGCAGAAAATAAAACTTTTAAATTTTTCTTGATGCTATACAAAGAATAACACCGAATAAGTGGGAAAATGTATTCAGCATGTAAATTCTCTATGGTCGAACCTAAAATGTGGAAATTAGACGGCATCATTGATACGTACGTTGCGCCTTCAATCATAAATCTTAATGACAGTGGGAGTTCCATGGCCTCAGATCTAGAATGATTTTCATTTTCAAATACATGTATTTGCAGTTTTATAGGTAACATGTCTGTGCAATGAATTTTTGTATAATCTTTAGTATATATTATTATGTATTCAAATCCTTTTTCTTTCAACACCACCTATCTGTTCATTTTTTAGTCTAATATTTGAATTAACTGTTTTCACACTGACGTCCCTGTTCAAGCAGTGGTTAGGTATATGCATATGCAATTATTGCTTAACTGTTTTCACACTGACGTCCCTGTTCAAGCAGTGGTTAGGTATATGCATATGCAATTATTGCTTTAATGTGTCAAGACATTTTTTAAAAGCCTGCTTTATAAATGCGCCTTACAACACATTTCGAGTATAATTTCTTGTTAAAACACTTCTATTAAAACCAACAATAGACAGTTGTCTTTTTGGTCATGACAGTTAAATTAAAAAAAAATATATATATCAATTTCAAGCTTTATGTTTGGACCCTAAACATGCCCTCAATAATTTTGCGTAATTATTGATCGTGTCGTAAATCCACAAATCAATTATTCTTAGTACGGCCCTGTAACGTGCTCGGCGTTCTGGAGCGCGATCACTTGGAGTATATGTGAATATGTTTAGGTTTGGTCTCTTTCTTCGATGGATACATAATAGATATTTATCAATGTCTCTAAAGTTTTGATCGCTCTGGATCTTCCAAAACAATAAAAAAGTTTTTTCTTCAAATCGTAAGTTTGTTTTTAAATGCT